GAGTGGACCAAAAGGTTACATATTGAGATTTTCAAATGATGCATGATTGTTTAAAGCAAAAGCTATATATATAATTATATTTAAAGTATTATAATGATTATCCAATCAATCAATCAATCTAAGGTAGCACTATTGGCTTGGCTGAGTAGGACCACTTGGGCACAATGGGTCACAACCATCCAATTTGGTCCCTAATATTTTCCGGCTATCAGCCTATAACTGAGCGGTGGCCTTCTAAAAAAAAAAACTGAAATTAAGAAGTATTAAAATCAATGTTATAAGCCTTGGTAGAATATAACGGCGGTACCTGCATACAAAGTTATCGTTAGCGAACATTCAACGGTATAGCTCATAGGAATCGAATCGAACCACCTGATGGGGTAGTACACTTGGTCCTTGACTTGCTTCCCCACCGTTCTTGTAACAAACCATGTTCCTCGCTTCTCCAAGCAATTCTTGCATTGTATTCTCCATCACATAGATGGGCAAGCACGATTCTCCTCATTTGTTGCACTATCTCTCGATGGACAAATTTCTTCTGTTGTACCTTGCGCACACTAGCGTGCCAATGCACACCTCCCTTCAGGAATGGATCCAGGACCAGATTACAGATCGGACTAATACGTAAAAAAAAAAAAAGTTACAGAAGAAATCTTTTTACCGACGACTCTATTACTTGTTGGCTGATCATAAACCTAGACAAAGTAAAAGATCAAGGATACATGGTTGAACTAATGTTGAACCAAAGTCAACCAATCACACAAAAAAATTAAAACATAAACTAACAAAAAATTGATGTGAACCATTCGGTTTTGACGCGAACCTATCAGTCCTTATAGAGAACCAGCCGGTTCTTCGGTAATTAAATGGTGCTGAAATATGTAATTTTTTTTTACTAACTTGTTCTCGGTTTATTTGATTGTTGATCGGTCTTGTTCGATTTTGAAAATACTGATTAAAATAGGAATTTTCGTGTTTATAATTAGAGTATTAGCATAAATAATTTTTAGTTAAATGAAGAAATTTTTTAATTGGATTAAATGTGATTTAGTATTGTTTAAAATTTAAATACAATATAATGATTAGTACAAATCATTAAATATTAAAAAAAAAATGCAATATACCAAATAAATACTTTATGCACAGTTCAATACAATAATTCATTTTAAAAATAATTAGTGTATCATTATTATATCACAAACAAGTGTACGATGTACACTATTATACCGAGCACTAAAT